GTAGAAAGAATCTGGAGCTTTGGGTAGACTATAAACTAAAGATGCCAGGGGGAAAAATATATATCTAATCCCTAAACTTCTTAGTTTCCCTGTCTTCCTTCAAGACTCAGCTTAAATACTACCTTCCGCAGGAAGTCTTTTACAATACTACCTCTGCTCCCATGTTTCCACCCCCCAGCTGCTAGTGCTTTTTCATCTCAGATTCTCTTGTGCCTAGCTCTCCCCTATTATAATGTGAGCTCCCTGGAGGGAGGGATTGTTTTTGCCTTTCTTTATAACCCCAGCCTAAATGTCTGTTGATTGACTAATGTTTGTTGACTAATAGAAGTACCCTGTATGGAATGAGAGAGCGAATGGTCCCACAAGTAGTCTGACCTGGTTAGACCACATATGGAGTATTGTATTCCACTGAATATGCCAAATTTTAAGAGGGACATTAATAACTTGATGTGAGATAATAAGAAGGTAACCAGGATAATGAAAGGACTTCAAGACATATCATTCAAAGATAAGTTAAAGGATTTGGGGGTGCTTACTCTAAAGAAGAGAAGACATAAATCATGTTCATATTCATTTGAAAGAATGTTATGTAGAGAGATATTAAGCTTGTTCTACTTAGCCTTGAAATGTAAAATGAATACTTAAAAGACAGAATTTACAAGAAGGAAAATTTTGGCTTAGTATGAGAAAGAACTTCCTAGCAATTAGCATTGTTCAAAAATGAAATAGGCTCCATCCATGGAAAGCTAATGATTTGCTAACCACTTAAGCAAAAAACTGGGTGACCACTTGCAAAAGGAATTCATTCTTCAGAGTTTAGACTACATGACTTCTAATGTACCTTCTAACTCTAATTACTTGAATTTAGAGCAGTGCTTTTGCATATAGCAAGGATTTAATGTTTGACAAATTTAACTTATAGTAGAAATTCTTCAAAGTAAAATTATAGACTTTTAGAAATAGAAAAGACTTTAGAAATCATTTAATCTAACACCTTCATTTTACAGTTGAGAACACTGTAGCTTAGAGATGTGATCTGATTACCAAAGATCATTCAACTGGTTCAGTCAGATCTCCTTATTCCTTACTTGATATTTACTTGATAATAACTGACATTATTCAAATCTTTTTAGAACTCCTCTTTTAGAATTACCAATCAATCAACAAACATTTGTTAAATGCCTACTACTAACTATACTGTTAAATGCCACTAAAGTGCCAGCCACTGTGCTAATCCCTGTGGATAGAAATACAAAGAAATAGAACAGTCCTTATTCTCAATGAGTTTACATTGTAATGGGGAAGACAATATGTCCATATTAAGCATAAAAAAAATAAATACAGAGAGAATAAATGCAAGTAAATAGAAAATAGTTAAATATGCTGTAGTTAGGGAGAGAGGACACCAGCAACTGGGAGGATTAAGAAAGGTTTTATTTAGGTCAGGCTCGAGCCAGGTCTTAAAAGGAGAAGGATTTTATAAAGCAGAAATTAAGAAAAAGTGCATGGGGGGAGAGGATGTCAAGAAGTGCAAAGATATACTGGAATGACATGTATGAAGAACAGAGAGAAGGATGGTTTAGTTGGATGGATGTGTGTGAAATAAGTTGGGGCTAGGTTGTGAAAGGCTTTAGAAACTAAACATAGACATTTATAGTTGACTATAGAGGAGATAAGAATTCAGTGGAGTTGACTTCATGGGAGAATGACATGTTCAGACCTGTACTTGAGGAAAATAATTTTTGGCACAATGTGGCGAGTCAACTGGGGCAGGGTGACCAATTGAGAGGCTGTTTCTTTCTAGCCAAAAAATGATCAGGGCCTGAACTAAGTGGTAGTTGTGTGATGAGATCATTCAGACTTAAGAGCCACATGAGAAAATTAATTTCATATTACATCTATCTTTTCCCCTACCTCTTAGCATTAACCAACTTAGTAATTCTTTTCATTTACTATACTTAGCTATACACATCTTTTTAACTGTTTCCAAAAAATTAAATCATACATTTGGATATATGTTAAAAATCACTTACTTCCTAAGCCACAAGCTAGGCAGTACCTCCTTTTCCTGGTAGTTAGCTGAAATTAGGAACATTTTGAAGTGCTTTGCATCAAGCAGTTAAGAGCTTCTAATGGCACAAAATGTATACTCTGGGAAGCATAGTTCTATATTTAATTTTTACATAATTATTAGATACAAAGGTGAAAAATAGATTAGTAGGTGCCAAGAGTATATGGGGTTGGTTGTTACCTGAAGGAGGGGCCAGAGCAAGGCATACAAATGCAAAAGTGAAACAATCCTTACTCTCAAGGAACTTATATTCTAATGGGAAAGACAAGCACTCAGGTAAATATATAGAGAGCAACTATAAAAAGAATAAATTCATGGCAGACGCATATGATCTTACACACCTCACCAACTCAACCTCTCTATGCTTTTTTTTTTAATTTGTAAAAGGGGAATAATATTTGTATTACAGATTATAGGGATGTATGTAAAACACTTTCTACAATGCAAAGAGCTATATGTGTGTTATTATTTTGGTATGTTATTATTTTTGATTTGCATTAGCTTTTGGTAAAATCCCTAATCCATGCTTAAGAAGGCAAGGAAGTAAGGCTCAAGGTAGTTAGGGTAACATAAAATCCAGCCATCAACAAACTTTTTAGACCTAAACCCAAGAAGGAAAAAAGGAAAGAAAGAAAGAGGGTGAAAGTTGGTATTAGAGCTCTAATACCAATGTTTTTTTCACTATCACACTGTGAGATATGAGAGAAAGTGTCAGGACTTCCATAGAGTCAATAGATAATCTCTTAGCTAGGGTGCCTATCCGATGACTAAGTGCATTATCAAATGATCACAGGCTGTAAACTAGAAGGTGCCTTAGAAATCATCAAGTCCTCTCTTTTCCTCTTACAGAAGAGTAAACTGAGGGCAGCAACTCGTCCAGGGTTACTTGTCTACTAAGGATCAGATACAGGATATGAACCCAGATCTTCTGACTCTAAACCTAGGGATCTTTCCATGACAGCAAATTATGCTCCAGGGTACTTGGTGCTTATTCCCAAGGTACACAGACGCTGTAAATAATTTGGCCTTGATCATCCAGGAGACAGAAAACCTAGGCCCTAGTTCCCACATAAGAAATCTTGGCAAGGTGAAAGTGCCTCGTATAGTTAGCCAGGGTTAGGGAACCTTTGGGCTCCAGGCCCCACATGGCTGGCCCTCTAGGTCCTCAAGTTCAGCCCTTTGACTGAATCCAAACTTCACAGGACCTAGAAGGCAGGCCACATGGGGCGGAGGGAGCCCAAAGGTTCCCCATCCCTTTGAGTTCTTTGCGATTCTGAGATTCTGTGAAATAAAATTTTAAAATAAGTCTTCCAGAAAATATTGTGAAATGTGAAGCTAATTTAAAAAACCTTTTAATTCAATGTTTAAAAATCTTAAATTAGTAAAAACTTTAGGTTTTTGTTTGTTCTGGAGAGATATAGGCACTTTGTCCTCAATATCACAAACCTTATTGTAGCATCAACTGCATCTAAGATAGTTTCTTATGGGTGTGTGTGTGTGTGTGTGTGTGTGTGTGTGTGTGTGTGAAAATAAACAGCTGACATTTATAAAGCACATTAAGGTTTCCAAGGTGTTTTACATGCATTATTTCTTTTGATCCTCATAAAACCCCTGTGAAATATGCACTATTATCCCCATTTTACAGATGAGGAAACTAAGTCGAAGACAATTTCTTACAGGCTGTGTAAGATAAAAAAAATTAACTGACATTTATATAGCTCTTGAAGGTCTGCAAAGTGTTTTTCATGCATAATCTCTTTTGAATCTCATTAAAGCCCTGTGAAATTATCCCTGTTTTGCTGAAGAGGAAACTCGGCTACAGTGGTTAAGTGTCTGAGGCAGAATTTGAACTTAGTTCTTCCTGATTCGAAATCCAGCTTCCAAGGGGCTCCCTCTTACCTCTAGATCAATTTTTTTTGAACTGGTCTGTTTGTTTGGCTTTTAAAGCCCTTTGCAATCTAGAGCCCCGTCCTGTTTCCAATCTTCTTTCCCCCCTCTCTACTCTTCGATCCAGTGACACTTGTTTCTTTACTGCTCCTCGCCCAAGACACTCCCGACTCAGAGCCTCTGCAATGGCCGTGGCCCGAGCCTGGAATTCTCTCCCTCCTCATCCTCCACCTCCTGGCCTCCCTCAAGTCTCAGCCTCGAAGAAGTCCCCAGCCTCTTCAAAGAAGCCTTTCCTAGTCCTCTGCAATCTTGGAGGCTTTCCTCTCTTGATTATCTCCCATTTATCCTGCACACATCTTGTTTGTGCATAGCGGCATGCATGTCACGGCCCCCGTGAGCTTCTTGAGGGCAGGGACTGTGTTTTCTTTTTCTTTTCTACTTTTTTTTTTTTACTTTTCTTTGAATCCTTATAGCTTAGCACAGTGTCTGGCACATAGTAGGCGCTTAATCGATGACTGAGAAGGCGCGGGTTTCCACCCTGGCAGGCTCATACGTTGAGTGACCTTGGTAATGTCATCTTTCCCCCATCCCGGCCTCAGTTTGCCCATCTATAAGAGAAGGGCTTGGGCTAGCTGACGGCATTCTGAATCCCTCTGCAGTTCTACAGCCCGCGGCCACCTCAGCCACCGGACAGGACACTGGTGAGGCAGCTTCCCGATCCCGGAGTCTCCGCTCCCCTCCCCCTCAGGCCCCTCCCCCCACACGTTCCTCCCTCCCGCCTCTCCCAGCCCGCGTGCGGCTGTCGCCGTGACGTCGGCACGGCGTTGCGGACGCCGAGTTCCATAGAAGGGGAAGGGGGTGGGAGTGGGGGCGGGGGACGGGGCACTGGGCACCGAAGAAATAAACGGGCGGCTCGCGGGTCGAGCTCGAGCCCGACGGCCGGTCCCAGCGCCCGAGGGGCGCCTCCGCGACGGCCCGAGGGATCGCCCGAGCGCGAGGGCCCGCGGGGGGAGGGGCGGAGGGGGAGGAGTCGAGGAGGGGGCGGGGGCAGGGAGGGATGTCAGCCGCGTGCGCCGTCTCTCAGAAGGCTCCGCAGCCGCCGCCGCCTCAGTCTCCGCGAGAGGAGCGGGCCCGGCCGGCGATGCACCGGCGGCGCCGCCCTCCGCCTCCCGCCGCTCAGCCACCCGAAGGCGGAGGCGATGGCGGCAGCGGCGTAGGGGGAAGAGGGGAGAGCGAGGACGTGGAGGTGCTGTTCTCGGCCGGGCGCCGGGCGGCGGCGGCCGGGGCAGCGGCGGTGGCGCGCAGTGCCGAGGAGGAGGAGGAGCGGCTGGAGCGGGAGCACTTCTGGAAGATCATCAACGCCTTCCGCTACTACGGGTAAGGGCTCGTTCCCCACCCCTCCGCGATCCCCGGCGCGGCCCCGGCCCGGCCCCCGCCCCGCGGGCCTCGGCCCCGCACGCAACAATGCCCACCTCCGTCCGCCCTCCCGCAGGTGCCCGCGCCGGCCGCCGGCATCCATCCCCCGGCCCGCGGGACCGGCCCCCCTCCTGCTGGAAGTTGGCTTCCAACTTCCCGGGGGGATGTCCCACCCAGCCTCGGTGCAGCTCCGAGCACTCGCCGGACCTGTGCGCGTTACAGATGCTTGAGAAATGCTTGTTGAATTGGATCGCACTCCATCGGATGTGGCCGAGGTCTCTGCCTCTCCTTGAATAATGTAAACTTGTCTTTTGGGCGAGTCTAGAAGCAGCAAGCATTTATTAAGCGCCTACTAATACCCCGGAAATGGGATGGGCTCTGAGAATACCTAGAAGGGCAAAAACAGCCCCTGCCCGCGGGGGACTCTCGGTCTAACGGGGAAGACGGTGCAGACAACTTTTCACCCACGAGATGTGTGCTAGGTGAATTGGAGCTGATCTCCAAGGGAGACACTAGAGGGGCCGGGTTGTTGCCTCCCTCTCCCACCTAAAGTAATCTTACCTCCTCAGATGTTCTCATGACTTTGAATCTCCCCTTAATCTATCAGTTGGTCAGTCAACAAGCGTTTAAGTCATTGCTATGTGCCGACGCTGAACTACTCTTCAGATGTAAAGAATGGCAGTCCTAATCACATTCAGCTTTGCGTGACACTTGTAAGTGTGCACGTCAAGGGCAGAGACTTTTTTAAAAACCTTTCTATTCCTAGCACTGTTCCTTGCCTTTATTAAATTAAAATTAAATATTTTTAAGAGCCTGATTTAGAAAGAGATTTTTCAGTTATCTGATAGGTCATAAAAACGTCACATATGATAGATACTTGCTCTATTAGCAACATTTTTATGTTTTTATGCTAGGCTGTTCATACAGTTTTGTGTGTGTGTGTGTGTGTGTTGTTTTTTTTAATATAGAGAGACTTAGAGTTTCCTACTGGTGGAATTGAGTGTCAGGCACTGTTTTTTCGATTGTTTTTCACTCGTGCATAACTATATTAGCCCTTACAAACTGATACTGATTGAACTTTGAAATTTCCATTCTTTATGAATGCAGACTGATGAATTGTTGAGTGATGCTACATTTGTTGGTGTGTTGAAGATGGGTGGGGAATAATTTGCATCAGTTCAGTTTTAGGTTTTCATAGTTGATAGAAATTGACAAAAGCCAAGGCCTTTAAAAAATCTGCTACTGTTACTAAGTACTGAAAACTGAAACCAGATTAAATAAGGAAAATGTGAGTTTTTGTTTTAAACAGTCGGGGTTAAGTGACTTGCCCAGCGTCACACAGCTAGTGAGTATCAAGTTTTGGTCTGAAGCTGGATTTGAACTCAGGTTCTACTGACTTCAGGGCCACTGTTCTCTATCCACTTGGCCACCTAACTGCCCCCGAAAATGTGATTTTCTGTCTTTCGCATCAGTACTCCCATTCTGCCATCTGCACTTGGGATTGACCTATAATGCATAATAGTTTTGGGATGGATATCTGTATATTGTTAGCCTACCCCTATATGCACAGAGGACAAATTTGACCCTGAAACTGCCATTTAAAATAAATGAATGGGATTAGAATGAGGGAAAATGTAAAAGACTATATGGATAGAAAAGTAAGTGGTTTCTTCAGCAAAAGATAGAGATTCTGTAGGTATCAAACACAGGATCATAGGATTGGAGGAAGACTAATATACCTCCTCTTTTAGGTATAGAAATTATGTTAAGGTGAAGGGTGGAGTCATCTTCCTGAATTAAAATCGGGCTTGAAACCCTGGAAAAGCCTCAGTTTCCTCATCTGTAAAGTGAGCTGGAGAAGGAAATGGCAAACCAATCCTGTATCTTTGCCAGGAAAACCCCAGATGGGGTCATGTAGTGTCAGACACTACTGAACCACAGCAAAAAAAGACAATGACATACCAAGTGTTAGAGGTTTCCATGTTACAATGAAACAATTTGATACTACCATGGAGGCATGATTTGACTAACATTATAAAAAGTCCCAAATAGTAGTTTGTTGTTGTTGTTTTTTAATCTTAAACTGATCTAGTACTTTAACTTGGGATTGACCCCCTTAAATACTGTTCCTCCTCTTACCTTATTTTCAGATGACATAACTGACATTTATATGACTCTACAAAGTTAGATACAACAGTAATTATTATCCCTACTTTACAAATAAGGAAACTGAGGCTACAAGAGATTAGGTAATTTCTCCATGAACAACACCTAATAAGTGTCTCTGTATTTTAACCCAGATCTGTCATTCTCTCTACTCTGTAGTGCTGCATCTGAAAATAAAGTAGCATTCCTTCCTTTGCAGCATATTGCAAAATGTCAAGTTAGATACTGTTATTGTAATTGAAAAATATTTTTAGGTACCATAAATGTCAACAACCAAATGAAACCCAGATATCAGCAGGTATAAACTATGTATGACATTGTTAAGACATAAGGCTCCTAGTATTTTTTAGGGGAAGGATTGGAGGTGATAGATTTTCCTTAGCTTCCCCACACAGGACAACTCTTGTTCTTTGAAGGGAATTTATTTCAGTCAGGGAATAAATAAGGGAATTATTTAAATCTTAATCAGAGATAGTAGATATAATTTATTCCAGCCCCCTGGCCTTTGACCTAATTTGGCAATATTCATCTCCTTTATCCTACTCTCCTCCCTTCACAGATGAGCTGGTGGAGAAAATTGTAGCAGTGTTTTACAAGTGTCACACACAGTGCCTTGCACATAGTAGACATTTAATAAATGTTTGAGTTGAAAGTTGTTGGTAGGGTCACTGTCTTATTTGCTTTTCCTGAAGGGCTGAGCACATTATAGTCTTTGAATAAATTTTGTCGAATTTTAAATTATATTATTCCTTTATGTTCCAGTTAGTAGTAAACATTGGATAAATATTTGTTGATTTGATAAATTAACTTGTTATAATGTTGTGATTTGATTTTTAGGAACTTTCCTGTAAAAAGCTGGAAGTGCTCTGTATCCAAAAAAACTGAAAACTCCTTCAGAGTTCTGTGTTCCTACCACCTGTGCAAGAAATGCCTTGGCAAAATAGTTACTAGTTTAGTTAGGAAGCTGTCTTAAGATTTGCTCCTATCCTCTGCCTGTGCCAGAAAGGAGTTAGTGTGGAGCTTCAGTTTCTCCCGGTTTTATGACCCATTTTAGATATCCCTCTTCTCTATGTCTCTTCTGACCTCTTGTGCAAATGAAAATGGTAGCATTGTGGCAGAAAAATTGAACTTAAGAATTGAAGTAGAAGTATAAGGAAGGTGAGGGGAGGGGTAGCTGGGCATAAAATGGACAAGAAGAATATGTACTCCTAGTTTATTTGCATCTGGGGAGAGGGAAGAATGAAAGGATCAAAGACAAAAAAATCTGGTGCGTTTTCTTTTTTAAAAATGTGGAAAGGATGTTTAAGAACTCTGTAGAAGAGCCATGGACTTGTATTCGTTTAGAGCAGATAGTTTATTTCAGTGATTAGAGACATTCTTATAGTCAGTGCTTGTAATGCATTACAATTATGCTTATAAAATGACTGAGTAAACCTAATAGTCCTGTGACTTGGAGATGAAGTGTTGCTTTCTAGTTGTTAGGTCAGTCCTTTAACATAATTTCTGTGCAGTATATTTTGACTAAATTGCTGTGTCCCTGTTGAAAACTTCTCCCTCTGCCCTTCCTCCCTTTCTCCAAAAAAGTCCAAGGAAGGGAGGGAAGAAATTTCACTTAATTTTTGTTCAAGTTTCATTTGCATTATTACCAGTTTCACATTTAACTAATCTAGGGAAGAAACATCACCCTATTCCTGAAGACAAAGTAGCAAATAGATCTCCCTTCCCCAAATACTTCTTTATATACTTGTTTTTTTTTTCCTCTTTGTGGTTTATTTGTCTTTAAGGAGTATAGCACTTTTTCTTGGTTTTATTACACTGTGTAGTCATTTTAGATTTTAATTTCCTAGGGCAAGAAATGTACTTTGATTATTTTCTTTCATTTTCCCCAAATACTGAAGTTCTATGTTCAGCAAACAAGTCATGCTAAATAAATATTTTGTTACTGAAGTTGAAAGTTTTGAGTATAGCTATAGCAGTTGTTTTTAAGTAATAGGCTACCATTTCTTTAGTATTAAAAGCATTACCTTTTTTTTTAAGTGTCTTTTTACCTGCCAAACAGTATCACATAGGGGAAGGGACCTCAAAGGTCGAGTCTAGCCTATACCTGAATAATCAATCTTTCTATCCCCTCGTTAGTAATCTTCCACATCTGTGAGTAGTGGTAGCTGCTCTACTGGGGACCCAACTGGCCAGTTCCATTTGGGCAGTGCAGCTCCTTCTTTCCTTCCTTCTCTTCTCTCCTTTTTCCCCTTCCCTCCTTCCCTTCTTCTCTCCCTACCTTTTCTCTTTCTTTCCTCTTCCACTGTCCACATAGGGAATCAGACCTTTATCTGCAGGTGCCCTGCCCAAAGGAATATACATTTTGATCACTGTTACCTTGGGGTTTATGGGCTGGGTTTTCTTATTTAAGGACCGTATCTTAAACCCAAATCACTCTGGCTTTCATTGATTAGCCAGCAACATCCCAGCCTAAGCTGTCTCAGTCACTGTATGGGCTCCTGCTGGCTCTGAGTAAGTGTAAATAGCGGTTGTTTCTGCTTTGGCCAGAAACCCTGAGGGTCTTCCCCTCCCAGATTGATTTTTTTTTTTTTGGACTAGATAAAAGAGGCCTTTCTTTGCCTTATTTCTTACCTAACCTTAATCACAAACTGTGACCTTTGGAAAGACCTTAGCTTAAAAAGGCTGGTGTCTCCCATTGTATGAGGGTCATCTCCTGTCATTCTGATCTATATCTTGTCACTGGATCCAAATGGCTCTGGAGGAGAGAGTGGCCCTCCCTCACTTAAGTCCTAGCACTTGCTTATCATTGATAACATATGGGGGGGGCAGCCCTCTGCAGAATTAGCTGGTAGAAAAGTTTAAGATATTTAACTGCTTTGGCTAAATATCATATTTAGATTCAGATGATTAAATATTTCATCTATATCGATTCAGTTCTCCATGATTTTTGTTTTTGAATCTTCCCCTTATTTCTACTCTTCTAGTGTTTTGAAAATAGTTTTCCAAAAGATTCCAGATTACTTTTTGTTTGACTTCTGTGAACAGGAACATTCAGAGTTTAGAAAATGTTGTTCAATGAGCTAAAGGTTACAATGGAAAGTAATCATCTACAACATGGTCTTTCAAATATTTGAAAATTGAAATGGTTTCAGTTGAAAAATATTGTGGCATGACTGAACAGTATCTTAAGAATGCAATTGAATGTTACCTTCCCTTCCAGATGTCATGGTTCTCTTCAAGAACAAAGGACAAACAAACTAGAAACAATCTTTCACACTGAGTGGATTCTTAGATACCTACAGTGACAAGAAACTCATTGTAAAGAATATTGTCTAGGCAGATAGAATTCAGTGTCTTAACAGCCCATAAGGTAATTGTCTTGCTTTTGGATACCTCTAGATAGGATTTGAGAGCTGGATTTAGAATTAGAGATTCCTGGACTGCCATTTTACATAAGAGGAAACTCAGGTGCAGAGAAATGACTTGTCTAAGATCACTTAGCTACTTGGTAATAAACCCAGGAATATTGAACCCAGGTGTCTTGGCTCCCAAGTCCCTGGCTTTCAAATTTTTCTACTATGGACCATAATGGTGCCTATCAACAGAAACACTATTTATGTGATCTTGTGATTTAGAGTTGGAAGAAATCTCAGAGGTCATCTAATTCCAACCCTCACTATTTTACAGATGAGGGAACTGAATCTTTAAAAGACTGTGACTTCCACAGATAGGTGGTAAGTTGCAGAGTAAGGATCTTCTGAATTTAAATCAAGCACTATCTCCATTGCACTGCACTACTTCATTGTTAAATAATGGGAAGGAAACTTTTCTCAGTCCTTGTTAAGAAAGATTATGTGTCATTAATTTATTTCCTTGGTAAATTTCCTAATTGTTTAAAACTCTTAGGTTTAGATTATTATTCATCGAAAAATAAGTACTGAAGTTAATATAAATGACTAAAAATATTACATCTATATGTATAAAAAGTTGTTATTGCTTCAGTAAGTTGTGGGAAGGGAGGGTCTTAAGAGTTAGGATAAAAGGTCTGACAGAAGAGGGAGGGAATTGCAATTCTTTGCAATTGCCTGGACTCGGTTGGTTTTTAATTGTCTTCCTGGTCAGATTTTGGTAAGAGCTTCAGCTACAGTTCTTTATAACTGGAGGTTCCAAGTATCACTTACTTATTCAGCTATGTGACCTTAGCCCAATCACATAGCTTCTGTGAACCTCGTTTGGTTCATCTGTAAAATGAGAATATTTGTCCAACATGCACTTCTATTTCCTTTTTTTCTAGTTTTATGGGTCAGTTATAAAATTCAGTTGTAGGAAATAATTATTGGGAAGCTTGAAATACATATTTGTTCAATCAAAAATAACAGAGGCTTTTCTCATAAGATTTAAGTTCAAATGCTAGGGCATTTCATTGCAGTTGAAGTATTTCATATGACCATTTATGATATAACAGTGAAAAATTGTATTTAACACAGAATACTTAGGTATGGTGTGGAAAGAGCCTTGGATTTGGAGATCTGGAGGCTTGAAGTCAAAACCTCATGTGGCATTGTGGAAACAGACCCAAAGAAGAAGAATTTCCCCATTTCTAAAATAGAGAATAATAATACTTGTACTATCTAACTCAAAGCTTTTGAGCAAATAAGATAATAAATATGAATATTTTGTAAACTATGTATTACAACACAAATATAAGAGTTTATCATTAATAAAATATCAGGGGGGAGATATTTAGCTGTTTTGACCAAATGTCATATTTAGGTTCAGATGATTAAATATTTCATCTATATGATTCAGTTCTCCATGATTTTTGTTTTTGAATCTTCCCCTTATTTCTACTCTTCCAGTGTTTTGAAAATGGTTAGTTTTCTAAAAGATTCCAGACTACTTTTTGTTTGACTTCTGTGAACAGGAACATTCAGAGCTTAGAAAATGTTTAATGAACTAAAGGTTACAATTGAAAGTAATGATCTACAACATGGTCTTTAAAATATTTGAAAGCTGAAATGGCTTCAGTTGAAAAGTATTGTGGAATGACTGAACAGTATCTTAAGGACACAATTGAACAGCTATGTGAAAGAAGATAAGACTACCCTTTGGTGTTAATCCTTGTGCCACTGACTGTTTTTGTCCTTTCTAGAACGAGCATGCATGAACGAGTGAATCGAACAGAAAGGCAATTCAGATCACTTCCAGCTAACCAGCAGAGCCTGCTTCCTCAATTTCTTCTTCACTTGGACAAAATTCGGAAATGCATTGATCATAATCAAGATATACTACAAACCATTGTGAATGACTGCATACATATGTTTGAAAATAAAGAGTATGGAGATGATGTATGTAAAGCCAGGCTAAAATGCAAAAATTCCTCCACTTCTTAAATTCTGAGTATTTGATGACTTATGAAGTAGGACCTATGCTCCCCTCTCCTTTTCTTGGTTTCATATTAATCATATATCTTACTGTGCTAATTGGTATCATAAACTTACTGTCAGACAATGAAATCAGAGTTAGTAATATATATTAATCACTTCCCTGAAAAGCAACCAGCTTTTCCTAATGTGCTCAGTCACATAGTTGACGCTAACTCTATTAGAGGGGTAACAACTTTAAAATCTGATTTTGTTACAAATTTAATCATTCACATTTTAGGTGGCCTCTTCATTTGATTACTGTTACCCTGCCATAATAGTTACTTCTCACTTCAGACAGTGTAGTTATTTGTTATTAACACTATAAAATTAATATTTTAAGATCCCCAAGTATTTTTACCAATACAGTTTATCCATTGACATACTGTCCTTTTAAAATAATATTTACTCTTATGAAGTTTAAGGGGCTGATACTGTTAGAAACTGAAGTCTTCTTTTTGTATTCACACAGTAGGTACAGGTGGGCCACTCCAGTGTGAGCTTCTCCATCAAATGGCCACTAGTGTCACCTAGAGGATCTTCCCTCTTGTTAGGTCTATGGCAGCTCAGGTTTGGTCCTCTTCTGAGTAAAGATGACTGCCCAATTCTATGGTAGTTTTTTTGATAAAGAACTTTAATCTGTTGAGGGCAGAGTTGAGACCACCAAACTCATTTCACTAAGGATCTCAAGCTACACTGAAATATTGGTGGTAGAGGTGAGAGGCAAGAGCTTTATCCATTAAGCCACCTGTGATAACTCTCCCAGTTGTTTTCAGCATGTCTGTTGAATTTATTCAAGATTACTTTTCTTAAACTGCTTTAACTCACTGATGTTTGTATTTTAAACAGGGGACAGGGAAGATTATGCCAGCATCCACATTTGACATGGATAAGTTAAAATCTACACTGAAACAATTTGTAAGAGATTGGAGTGAAACTGGGAAAGCTGAAAGAGATGCCTGCTACCAGCCAATCATTAAAGAAATTGTGAAAAATTTTCCAAAGGAGAGATGGTAAATAATGCTTTTGTTTTCAGCCAATTTTGTTGAGATTAATGTAGTGACATGTAGTTGTGGAGTGTTTGTCAATAATACTTAAGCAGTACAGAAGCACATTCTGAGCACCTTCTGCAGTATTATTCTTTTTCTTTTTTAACAAAAATTATGCTGCTTCATCTTGAAATGAATTAATTGAATTTTTGCATTGTTGATGCAGTAGTTTTTCAAAACACCCTACTTTATGGTGGAAAATTTAAAAGAATACTTTTTAAGTGTTTTAAATAAGCAAGTGAAGGGAAAGTATGACAGAAACCATATTGCTGTTTGGTTGGAATTTATATTGGAATCAGTTATTAATATAGTATTGTTCTGAGATTGCTATTTAGTGAGTAATATTGCAGATGGCCTCTCTTGAGTCATAGAATTTAGTATTTTTAGTGGTGACATTTGCTATCAAAAGCTTTGAGTATTTAAATTCAAGTTGGAAAGGGAGTATCTCCAACCTTAATGACAATGAAACTTGTGGTATACACAGTTGGTAGCCATCGCACTAATGGCTTCTGTTCTTGAAGTCGGTGTTTACATTGTTTATTTAGAACCCAGAATACATTTTCTCATCCTAACAATGTTACTAGAAATAGTGTGGCCTAGTGGATAACAAGTCACCCTTGGAAGCAGGAGGAGTCTCTCCCCTAGACATGAAGTTTCAGAGCAAGTGCTGCAGTGTGCATTGGTGAAGGAAATACCTTTGCCAGGAGTGTACCCGTCACGTGTCTGAACAGAAATTACATGTTATAAGTAAATGATAGGTTCTTATATCAGTCTGTGGAAGCTTATTTGACCCAGAAGCAAAAGGTATTGTTATTATAAGATCCTTTTCATTACATTAATCTTTTGTGGTTGGCTTTAGAACCTAATATATGGGAAAATGCATTCAGAACTTGGGGAAAAGCAGTATGATGTAATGGAAACCACAAAATTGGAGTGGGACTGTATTCTGGTCCTGGGCCACTTGACACTACTGTGTGAACTTGAGCAAATCATTTATGCCTTGTTATCCTCATGTCTGAAATGAAGGGGTTGGATTGTCTGACTTCCAAGCCCCTTTCCAATTAAATCTTATGAGCGAGGAATGTGAATGCTCTCTTTTTGATCTGTATCTGGCTCATAACGAGAATGGGTACATGAGGATTGAGCAACACAGCTCTCTGTGAGGAACCAGTTCTTCAGAACTACATGGGCTATCAGTTTGTATAGATGGCATATTCTTATTTTTTTTTAGGCTATTGGGGTTAAGTGACTTGCCCAGGGTCACACAGCTAGTTAAGTGTCAAGTGTTTGGTCTGAGGCTGGATTTGAACTCAGGTCCTCCTGACTTCAGGGTCGGTGCTCTATCCACTGCGCCACCTAGCTGCCCCAATTGTCTAGGGATAGTGTACTTTTTTTTTCTTTTTTGGGGGGGGTGTGGTGTGGCAATCGGGGTTAAGTGACTTGCCAAGGGTTACATAGCTAGTAAGTGTCATGTGTCTGAGGTCACATTTGAACTCAGGTCCTCCTGACTCCAAGGCCAGAGCTTTATCCACTGCACCATCTAGCTATTTTTTAATTTTCTAATTTTTTTTTAATTTTTAGGCAATCAGGATTAAGTGACTTGCCCAGAGTCACACAGCTAGTAAGTGTCAAGTGTTTGGTCTGAGGCCAGATTTGAACTCAGGTCCTCCTGACTTCAGGGCCGGCACTCTATCCACTATGCCACCTAACTTAACCAATTCATCTGAGTAGAATTTCATTTTATAGTGACTTTTATTCTGTGTATTGAAGTATATCTATTTTACTAGTATTATCCAACCATAGAAATAGGACCTAGACCTGTTTTGGTATAGAGAAGCCTAGAATGAAGAAACTCCCTTTATCAATGACAATTACCATCTCCTCTGCTATTTGTAGACTTAGAGAGGTGCCCGGAAGCATTGAGAGATTAAGTGACTGGCCCAGAAACTGGACTGCCCAATGTATAGGAGGCAGGCCTCATATGCTAATTCTCAGGCTTTTGTTAACTTTGGTGGTAGATCTTTATGCATTATTCCTTCTGTGACTGGCCTTAATTAGGAGATAATAATTCTAGCTTATACTTTTTTAGGGATATCAAGAGACACCTGGCTTGACGATGGAGTGCTTGTGATACATATAGGATTTCTTCTCCCTATACTCTTGGGATGTAACTACAGAGCTTATCCCATGTGTGGGCTCAGACCCGTTCTTGGGAACCCAGACCTCTGGCTTAAAATGCTCACCACTGGCTTAAAATCAATAATACCCATACCTCCCAGTTCTGCCTCATTCTTTAAAAAAAAACATTACTTTGTCCTGGAATTCCTTCAGGCTGTAGCTATATATTTTATCGCTAAAATCCTAGAAGGAATCCATACTCATTGCCTCAGTTCCTTGCAGTCTGACCTCTGAACCCACTGCTTGACCTATACTGTTCTCTTTAAAGGTTACCATGAGTTTCCTATCTGCTCAGTCTGATGACCTCTTCTCATCCTTCTTGAATTCTGTAGATTTTTATATTATTAATTATATCATTGATTATTGGATATGCTCTTCTCCGTTGTATTGTGTGATATTCTTTCTCCTGTCTGTACCTTCTGATATTCTGATCAGCATCTCTACTAACCTTCTGATGCCTCAGTTTTTCTTACTGAATCATCATTTGTTTCTTGTCCTCTTAGCATGAGTATTCCCTTGGACTTTGTCCTGGGTCCTTTCTAAATACATTGTCTAGGAGATTTTTTAACAATTCATGGGTTCTAGTGTCTTTATGCAGATGACTCCCAAATCTGTTAAGTGTAGCAGATTTTACACTATGTGGATTCTTATAATTGAGTCTGCATCTGCTTAAAGCCACTTTTCTGTGTTCTTGAGTTGAGCTCAGGAATTTGTATTTCCCTCTGTTAGTTTAAAGTTATCTTTGAGCCCCACAAGTTAAAACTTAGTACCATCCCTAAAAGACATATTGTCTCTCCTTACTTGTCCTTGTGCAGTTAGGGGAATTTTTATCTTTTCCAGGGAGACAGCAAGTCTGGTAGTTTTCATCCCCTAGCAAAGATTACAAGATGCGGATTGGTCCCATAAAGCAATCAACATCCCTTAATTGTCATAGAGGGAGTGGTTACTAGCCCACTTTCCTTGATATAACCATTCATGTTTTCCCCATTTCTGTGATGCTGTCTACCCTGTAACCAATCACATTGTCTTCCCCACCTGCCCAGTTATGAACTTCTCAAAACTGCAAAGAACTGGTGAGCCCTCCCTTGGAGTCTTTGGTTATTGAGAGGCCATAGACCCAATTTATTGGTTACTGCTCAGACTATTATGTCTCAGTTTGCCCTAATTTTTTAATTTAATGCTATATAAACTAGTGCTAATTTCTCCCTAAAAGGAGTAAGACTTCATCAGATGCTTGCTGATATATCTATTTGTTTATGTTATATAGGCATTTCAAACTTACTGTGTTATTTTCTTCTTGTAACACCATTCCTCCAAACTTACTACTTCTGTTGAGGACACTGTTATCCTCCCAGTCTTCCTTGACTCCTTTAGCCTATGTTGCCAATAAGTTGTCAGGTCTTGTCAGTTCTACATATGAAACATTTCTCACATCTTTCCTCTTTTCTCCACTCATGCTGCCATCACCCTTGTTCAGACTCTTATCACCTCTTGCCAGGACTACTTTTACCTTAATTGAGCTCCTTGTTTCCCTCTCTAATCCATCCTTCACACACATCTAACCACCATAATAATGTTCTTAAGGCATAGAGGTGATCATGTCTCTCAGAAACTAGCAGTAACTAGAAGTAAGATGCAGCAAAAACTTCTCAGCCTGGCATTTAAGGCTCCTCATAATCTGATCCCATCTACCTTTCAAGCCGTATGTCATACTGATCCCCTCTCTGAACTTTGTTCAAGCCAAGTTTGGCTACCAGCATTCCCTTCTCATCTCTGCTTTTTGGGGTCCTTGTTTTCCTTTAAGCCTTAATTACAGTTAAGCCATGAACTCCAAAACCTCCATTTAAGGAGGGAGCACAGCTCAGAGCATCTCATTTCTCTAGTTTTAACACTTCTATGACTTTTCCAACAATTTCCCCCTCTTCCCCTTTTCTCCTTCTTTTCTTCCTGCTTTCCTTCCCTCTCTGCCTCCCTAGCGCTTGTGGAAGATGGTAGGTGCTTTTTGTTGTTTGGTCATTTTTCATGAGTTATTGTTGTTTAGTCGATTAGTTGTGTCTGACTCTTCATGACCCCATTTGAGATTTTCTTGACAAAGATACTGAAATGGTTTGGCAGTTCCTTCTCCAGCTAATTTTACAGATGAGGAACTGAGGCAAACAGGGTTAATTAAATGACTTGCCAAGGATCACACAGCTAGTAAGTGTCTGAGGCCGGATTTGAATTCGCAATGATAACAAAGGGCTGGAGCAGAAACTATTATGCTTCAACTGAAATAAAAAAACAGCCCTTTATTTAACTCTATGTGTATCTTTCTGTTTCAAGTATGTTTCTTGTAAAACCACTTGTTGTTGGATTCTGATTTCTAATTCATTCAGCTATCCTCTTTCATTTCATGAGTGAGTTCATCCTGTTCATATACACAGTTATGATTGCTAATTGTGTATTTCCCTCCATCCTTTGTTGCTTAGACTTTTCCTTCTCTTTCTTTCCCACCTGTCTTTAACAGTTTGTTTTGCCTGTGACTAAATCTTCCCTCTTATTCCTCTACCCTTTCCCTTAACCCTTTTCCGTCTTGTTTCCCTGTAGGATGAAATGTATTTCTGTACATGTGTATTATTCTCTCTTTTGACCAGTTTAGACAGGAGTGAGGTTCAAGTGTTGATGCCCCACATACAGTGAAGATTGTATGGTCCTCCTCTCTGCATACTCCATTTATGTAAAATAATTTTTCCCATTCTTGTTTCCCTTCTTGCCTTTTCTAGTACATCCCTCTTCCCTACCTTTTC